TTTTTATTACGTTCAGCAGTTTATCATCTTCTGAAGCTATTAGGCTTCAATCATATTTGTAACTTACATTTTCATTTTTAAAACTATCATACATATCATATTTACATTTTATATTTACTTTATAATTAATTTAACATTTATTTTCTAGACTTAATGATAAAGGAAATTCCCCATGAATTTTGAATCTTATTATCTAAAATATTTCTCTTTCCTTTTCCATTTAAGTTGAAGCTGACAGTATTTACCTCTTCCTTTTTAATCTTTTAACTTTAAAACGTATCCTCTTCCAACATCTATGTATATGTAGGTTTCTGTATATTTTGAGGGCAAAGAATTGAGGGGATGGAGGTGTAAGGTAGGGCAGGCAAGTAGGGAGCAGTTACCAGGTTTTACTTTGCTTTCTCCCCTTCCTGTGCTTACACATAAAGCTTTTCCAGTGCCTGACAGTTTAAAAAATATATTATTATTATTATTTTATAATTATATTAAAAATAAACTCAATGAAAATATATTTTGGATACATGGGTACATATAATTGAGAAAAAGATTCTGAAATGCATATAAAAGGAAAGTAGGAATATCCAGGTAAATTTTGGTTTTAGAACTAAACTAACAGTGAATTACAATATAGGTAATTTTATTTTCAAACTTCATATTTCTGATTGTTAATATATTATCAAATATTTATTAAAATATCAATGTTACCTTGGTATATATATAAATTAATATACATTTTCATAATCAACACACAAAGACGATTTTCATTAATAATATAGATGCATGTCTTCTTAAATGTTTTCCTAAGTAAACAAAAAAGTACTTTTTTAAACTTAGAGACTATTATGGACATTGCCTATCTTAAAATTAGGCCTATGTAATTATTTTCTGACATTTGGTATTCAATTTAAAAATGAAAAAGAATTTATTTTAAAATTGATTATTATGAATATTTAGAGTACTTCCAGTTTTTCATTATTACAAATTCCCTGTAAATAATATCCTTAAATGGATACACATTTTGGAGCAATTGTCTGATTATAGTCTCAGGTTAAATCCCTAGAAGAGAGATTGATCAAAGCATAAATATAGTATGTACACTCTTATTGTTTTTTGATATCTATTGCCAAATTACCTAATCGTAATGATCACCACCAATCTGTATGTGTCCAGTTGTAACTTCATAAATTATTTACTTTTAGTCAATTGGACATGTAAGTGGTATATTTTCTGAGAGATAGCATATCTTAAAATTTTACTATTTTTTACTGTCCTATTGGCTTTTTTGTTATTTTTTTCACTATGTCATTTAGTAATGAGCTATGTCTATAAAGAGTATGACATAGAAATAAAAAGTACAAAATATTACCATATGGAACTAGAGGCAATTTTGAGACGACCTATAGTATTAGGAATGCTAATTATATTTTTACCTTCTGCCTCTTGGTTGATTTTTCTGTTATGTAAGTTAGGGTTTTAGATCTAGCATACTGTTAATAAATAACATTTTTTAAACATTATTTATCTTGGTTCTAAAAATATTTTGTCATTTTTGCTTTTGTACTTAAATTTACAATAAACATTTTGACTTTATTTCATGCTTAATTGGTTTCATTTTTCATAATTCTACAGAGTGATTTTAGATTTTTAATGACATTAGATCCTCATCATTCAGAGTCCTTGGAATGCCAAATATTGCCTTGGCTTTCCTCTTCTAATTCATTCAGTAAATTGTATGTGTATCAAAGTGTGTGAATCATTCTACTGAACATGGATAAATAGAGTATTTATAAAACCACTTCTATTATAAAATTCAGAGTATTTGCAGTTAAGGCAAAAGATCCTTGTTTGTTTGTTTTTTTCTAGATTTAGTTTTCATTTCTTGATCCTTACAATTACCCACATCTTTGAAATTACTTGTGTTAGAAATATGTTAGCTCAGAAAAAAAAGAAGCAACTCCGGTATTTTGTTTTGTTTTCTCTTACAGCAACAGTCTCTAACAACTTTGGCCTGAAGAGAGGATAAATCCAAATAAATCATCAGAAACTGGCCTAAACCAAGAAGAGATAAAAACATAATTTATTCCTCAACTCTGTTGTCACTACTGAAGGTTTAAATTATGAAATAATAAATAATCTGCATCTGAGTCACCTGAATTATGTCTGGTGTTTATGTATTTACAGCATCAATTTTCACCCTATCTACTCCAACTTGAATCCTGAAGAGGCTCTGAATCAGGGGAAAGCAACCTAGGGTCCTTGTCCCATGAAGCCAAGAGGGCCCACTTTTCTGTTTTCCATCAGACAAAATAGTCCTTCACAACAGTGTCCCAATCAGGCAGCCGAACACCATCTGGAAAATACATATCTTTCTCACAAAGTAGTAGCAGTCTCTGTACCCACTGTTATTATCTGCCTCTAAACTCACCACCTTACATCGGAGTGGTATCTGAACTCTCTGGCTTAGCAGCTTCTGTCTCTCCTGCCCAGCACACTCTAGCTGGTTAACATGGTAGCTATATCTAAGCTCTCTGGGAGCTGTTAGCCTTACATCTTGGCAGTACCAGCTCTCAGCTCCATCTGAGCTCTCTATCCTTTTCCCTTCCTAGCTGCTCTCTGGCCAACTAGCTGGTCAGTAACCTGTATATCACTCCAGAGACAAAGAAGGCTGGTTGCCAACAGTGACAATCATTTGGGTTATAGAAGGGCACTGTGAGATTGTTGTGGCCTTGCAGCTGCTTATGGTATCTTAGCCTAGGGGCAGAGTGGCCTTGGACATTCGGTGTACTATCACCAAGGCCTACACACTCTAGCCTTGATTATCCGGGGACTCTGGCATGCTTCCCATATTGGTTATATCTTTATAGTGAAGTGACTATGTTATGGTGTGCAACCCATGTCTCTTTCCATCTCTGCCTCTAAAAATATCAAGTGACAGTTTGAAATTAGCCTTCGCTGAAACTGATAAACCCATAAGTCTCCCTCCCTGCCCCTCTCCACCCCCACCCCGAGAGAGATAGTTGTGTAATATCATTGAGCATACAACTGTCCTGGGGGGTATCTTTTTTTTTTTCTTTTCTATTTTCCTTTAAATACCTTATTTGAGACGCATTTCTATCATGGCTGTAATTTACAAATCACCCTGGACAAGAATACTCAATTGCCTCGATGTTTGACCTGGGTTGGCAGAGCCTATGAGCCATGCCTGTAGGAAGCAAAGAAGGTATATTTCAGATCTGCTTTCTGTTACGGAGAGTAGAGAAGCTGCTAAGAAGTACTATTGTTGCATGACCAAAAGTGGTAAGGTTGCCCAGTCTGTTGTTACTAGTAGAGATAACTTTACCCTATCTTTAGGGCTCTCCGAATACTGATGAGTTGGGCGATCTGAAGAGAGGATCATCATATGAGGCCAATATTTATCAGTTGTTGAAATGACCAAATGAGGAAAGCCTAAACTAAGTAAAATATCAAGTGGCTCTGGGCCAGGGTGAGTTTGGGACTTCTTATAAGGCAGCATTTCTACTTTCACTGTCTCTCCACGCTGAAATTGTAGAAAGAAGTGAGGAGCAAAGAACAATTCAAACGTGGAGTTGAAATGTCTTGCCCCCAAACCATTTTGCTTTTAAATTTGAAGAGGAAAATGAGTGCTGAAAAATGAGGGGCTGTTAAAATAAAAATTTTGCATACAGTAAGGAAACTTCTGTTACTCATACTTCCATACAAATAGTGTAAAAGGCCAGTGAAAATTTGGAAACCATATAGTTGTGTAATACTCTGAAGATTGTCCTTCCTAATTGAGAAACATAGGGTTTAGTAATTTTGTATCAGTTAAAATCTGTGCTGTTGTGCAGATATAGCCCAATAATGAAATCTTTAATAATAGCTATAAGCTTTCAGAAATAAAAATATCCTCGTTGCTTAACTGCAGACAAGCTTTGATTCCTGGCTGTTTTCTGAAATTATTTTGGCAAAACAATCACTTACCTCTGCTGTGTTAAATTCCAGTAATTACCTTCAGTCGTTTTTTGTTTTTTTTCCTTAGCTGACATTTGATTATTCCTCATTTGAAACTGGAACTGTTTTTTCATGTCTGAAACATTTCCATCTCTTCTTAATCCTAGTTGTTTATCTGCCTCTGAGAATTCTTCCTCAGTTTGCTTTGTTACCATCCACTTACTTGACTTTAAATGATGGTGTTATTGACTTCCATCTGTTTTCATTGAACACCAGCTTGTCATAACTAATTGTGTGCATCATTACTACCTGGGGAGGTTTTCTTTTTCTTTCTTTTTTTTTTTTTGTGTGGAGGTTTTCTAAAATACTCATTCTGAAGCACTAACCCTAGAGATTCAGATTTGGTAGGATATTTCTCTGATACTGCTGGTCATTCTCTTGATACAAAATACTTCTCAGTGCTATTCACTTACATGCACATATATACAGAATAACGCTTTTTTCTTTTTCTTTTTTTTTTGTTTTCAGGTTAATGTTTTATCTAGTTCATATGCCTACCTAAATTCCTAGTAGGCTCATGATGGACTGGACACAGATTACCAAAATAATTCTTGGTTGTTGTAACTGTTCCTGAGTGTAATATGCAAGGTCATTTTAAAAAAAATTTCTTGGAAAAGGGAGAGCCCTGCTGAAACAGGTGGAGCTCAGGCTGTGCAGTGCACTCACATGAGGATCACCGAATGAAAGCAGGCAGAGCTTGCTTACATCTTCAGAAGTACAATGAGAAGTCAAGACAAGTTCCCAAGGTATAAGCTTGCCATAGTTCCCACGGTGGGAGACCTTTTAATACATCCTTTGACAGGATTGTGGTCACTGCTATGGCTAATGCTCCCCTCTGCACCATCCCCCACAAGTCCCTGTGGAATCAGTTTGCCAGTTTCCAAGTTGAATGCCAAACTAATCTCTGAGGTACACTGATGTCGGAAAAGTGCTCTTGCTGCTCTGACAAGGCCTATAGCCATTTCTAAAAGTTGGACACCCTGGAAGCAGATAAGTGTGTGCAAGTAGAGGGACATGCAGCAGCCAGGAATGTACTCTGGATAGCTCCTAGAATAAGGAGCATGAATGATGAAGAGCTGCTGCTCTCTGAAATAGATCTGTTCAATTTTGTCGAGGCTACACCTCCCATGGTCTGCTCCCAACCAATGATGGAACATATTCTTAACTGAACTCATTATCTCTCACTCTCTGTTTGAATCTGCTTCCTATAACATTGGTGACCTCCTCTCATCCCAGTTGTTTAACATCTTAACAATTTCACCCTCCTCCATATCAAATGATTCAACAAACCTATTTTTCTCCCTAAAAAGCTCTCAGATATCTTTACTACTTTATTCCCCTCCCACTCTTTATTCCTGAGGATGTAGACAGTACTGGCCCAGCCCCTGGAAAATTCCCCTTTAATGAAGTTATTGCTTCTGGTCCTCATCATTTTAATCCCCTCACACTATTACAAGTCATCATTCTAACACACAAATCTATCATTCATTTGCATGTAAATCTTTATAAAAATTTAAAATTACTTAAGAAAAAAGTTATAAAATGCATTAACATCAGTACAAGTCATTCACAAAACCCAAAATGTCACAGCTACTCTTTAGCTTCACTTGATATCGGTATAGAAAACAAAATTATCTTGGTTGTGGTCCCAGAGAACTTTGAACATCCCTCTAACAAGGGTTTTTTTTGCTTCTATCTGTGGCATCTCTTGTACATATCTAGTTTTCTGTTAGTCTCTGATGGACTTGGAAATAGGGAGAGTGTCACACGTATTTTGATATCAGCTTAGTTCCATGCTTGTAGTAAACATATAAAAAATAATTGCTGATATGAACACAAATGATTTGAATGCCTATAATTCTTGCATATTAAAAACTGAGCAGTTATTACCAGTCATGAAAATTAAGTCATTAATTTAATGAACTCATTATCTCTCACTCTCTGTTTGAATCTGCTTCCTATAACATTGGTGACCTCCTCTCATCCCAGTTGTTTAACATCTTAACAATTTCACCCTCCTCCATATCAAATGATTCAACAAACCTATTTTTCTCCCTAAAAAGCTCTCAGATATCTTTACTACTTTATTCCCCTCCCACTCTTTATTCCTGAGGATGTAGACAGTACTAGCCCAGCCCATGGAAAATATGTATTGAATACATATTTCACCTTTTGGTTACTTGACTGAGCAACATTAATTTTTAGAACCATTGAACAACCTTTTAATACTCATCATGCCTTCAGCGACATTTAGAAGACTTCAAAGATTTGATAAGGTTTTAGACAATCAGAAAAGCAGTTTATTTTAAGAGCAACATAATATTGATATACTAAATCTATTAATAGTCATAATTTTGTAAAATATACAAATGCTAATTTTAAAATATATAAAAGAATTCAAAAAACTGTGGTACATCTACACGATGGAATACTATGCTGCTGTAGAAAAGAAGGAATTCTTACCATTTGCAGCAGCATGGATGGAACTGGAGAGCATTATGCTAAGTGAAATAAGCCAGTCAATGAAGGAAAAATACCACATGATCTCACTCATTTATGGATAATAAAGACCATTATAAACTTATGAACAAAAATAGATACAGAGGCAGAGCAGCCTCGAACAGACTGTCAAACTACAGTGGGAAGGCCGGGGAGGGTTGGGGGGCAAGAGGGGAGGGTAAGAGATCAACCGAAGGACGACTATGCATGCATATAAGCATAACCAATGGACATAAGACACTGCGGGGTAGGGGAGGCCAGGGGATTGTCAAGGGCGGGAAAAAAAGGAGACATATGTAATACTCTTTGTAATACCTTAAGCAATAAAACAATAAAAAAATTCAAATAAATGAGTATGGTATACAGCATGCATCACAACAAAACTAAATAATTAGGCTGTGAATATGTTAGTGAAATATTGTATACAGAACTGGCTATTTAGAAGTAGAATTTTCTATGCTATATTTGGTACGTGCATATAGTTTTTTTTTTGATAAATCACGCTAAAATGATTTAAGAAAAGCATGAAAAATATATTTTCATTGTTTTATTTTGTTTCATTTTACATATTGGGAAAACTCAATCAATTTATTGTGTTTATAAATATTGCAAGTAAGGAATGAAGGCACATGTATTCCATAGAGGAACAAGTTAGGAACTGTTCGGCATAGAAATCCTTGCAAAAGTTAAAAATTGGCTGCATATTAAGCCATCAAATGAAAGCTCTTTCCAAGTTAATTCCATGCCTTTCCACAGGTGAACTTCACACTTGATGGGGGGAAGAGCTTACTTTTAACTTTTATTTAGTCTGCTTAGCTGCAGAAACCAAATTATACATAAGGAATAAATAATGAGAATATAAAGTTGTTTTTACAGGATCACTTCATACTTGTTTTTTTTCTGCCTAATACTTTAATTGTAACTTCATACTGGGGGATTAGAACGAATATATACACACATTTCATATTTAGTTTTTAAATTTAGTTTGTTTAACCAAAGATTTTCTAAGAAATGAACTTACT